AGAGCAGAAGACTAATCAGATGCTTGCCTTACATTCAGTATTGGGAGAAAGGTGGGATATAATTTAAATTCATGAACCATGGTGCTTAATATCCTTCTAGTATTTTTCTGCAGTTCACTATGAATAGATTTTACAATTCATAATACCTGTTTTAACTTTCATCTTTTAATGTCATTGCTATAAATCTACTAAAATTAAGCCATAAATACCCACCACTACTCTCACAGAAATAATTATTTACAAATATCTTATTTTTAATTCATTGAATAGCATTTATCCCTTAAATTAAATGCATTATGAAATAAATTGGAAATAAATTGGATGCATTTTATTCATTAATTTATTCAGATGAACTATTTTTAAAGTGATTGGCATTTTTAAGGTTACTGATCATTAAAATTAGCAGCCCAAGAACTGATTCCAAGAAAAGAAAGCCCTACAGAGAACACTGAACATTTACATAAATTGGTTGGCCTTTTAAAAAGCCTAAGTTTCTGATCTCTGCAAGTGTTCACTAGGTGAGAGTTAATTTGCTTTTTTTGGATTTACTTTCACAATGCACCAAGAACTGCCCCAACAGAATTCTGGAAGTTTTGGTCCACAAATATACACCTACATTTCACACAGCCAGAGTTGTGTGAAAGGCTGTACCTGCTTTCAAGGCTGCATAGCCTTCACTGTTAATGTTTTTAAAAAGAATCTGCTACTGTGCTTTTCCTTGGAGTCATAGTTCTTCAAGAGGTGTCCTCAATAAAGCCTAATGAGAACCAGACTCTGACTCCCAGGAAGCACTGTGACAACTTCTTTTTTTTAGACAAACAACAGGAAACAAAGGCCTTACAACCTCAGGGTGAGTGAAATACAGGTATATGTTTATATACTAAAACTTCCAAAATTCTGTCTTGGAGAATTCTGGAAATTTGGAGTCGAAAACCAATAAAATACATATCCCTAGTGTGCACCACCCCAAGAGAAATGAGCGAAGGGAGCCTTATACTCTGAATCAAGGAATTGCCTTTTTGCAGCTCCTTTTTTCCCCTGTTTTCTTTTTAGCATGCTTCTTCTGAGATCCTCAGAAATGAGGAGTGATGGGAAGTGTAGTCTTTGATTTCATCTGCTTCAGAATATAGGTGCCCTCAGAGAGTACTCTCCCCATCATGTCTTGGTTCCAGGGACTTCCCCTAGGATGCCCTCTAGTCCTGTCTGGATCCTAAACCCTCCAGACTAATAGAACAGCATTTTTAAAGCAGAGCAGTCCATCATTCCAATGGCTGCACAAATCCTGTCTTTCGCTGCAACGAGTACTTAAGAAAAATCTTGCTGGATCCTCAGACCAGGAGTTCATGTATTTCTGCACCTGGTTTCCCATAATGGCCAGCCAGCTAGCCTACAAGCAGGACATGAAGGCCACAGCCATATGACATTGCTACTTGATCCCCATACGAGCAAATTATATCCAATGATATCCTTCAGGTCCACTATACTGCAAAATTCCTAAAGAGACAAATCCAAATGAAAAAAAAAAACACAATTTCATGTTAATTTTTCCCATCCTAGATGTTTCCTCTTGCACTACTAGGCATGCCACATGATGGTTCTGGAACAAATGCAACACTGAGTGTGTGAAGCAAAGTTTACTGGCAGTGGGAAAATGCTTACATTACTGTCCTTAGGCAGTCACAAAAGAAATAGGATTCTGGTCCATAAAATACTGTAAATTATCATAGTGGCCCATCCATTCACATGCAGTTTGCAGTAAAAGAATCAGTTGTCCATAAAGACAAGCTACCAGCATATTCATTCCATGAACTCACATGATAAGTATGTTAATAGGTAATTAAATAATTTCAATAAATGTAGAATTTAATTCAATTATTTATTTATTTCATTAGTTTATATGCCACCTCATTAGTGCAATGCAGTATTTTGGTTAATTAACAGAAAAACAAAGCAAGACAAAATGACAGCGAGATCACAAAATTCTTGTATAACAGAGAAGGGCTGTATCTTTTTAATTTCTGCCCATCATAAACTTTGAAACATACAGGAAACTGCTCAAGGAAAGCAATTTGTTTTCTTTTTTCCTTTTAGTAGAGAAACTGCTTGCGTTGCTAGGTTTTCTATGCAGCATACGTTTTGTGTTGTACAACTCACCTTATTGCTGCCGAAGTGGCTGCCCCATCTCCTATTGCCCAGCTGGTTCAATTTGACCCTGTAGTCAAGGAGGAAGCCTCCAGGGTGGTGGCTAGCTGTAGGCCCGCTGTCTCTTCGCTGGGCCCTTGCCCAGTGTGGCTGATCAGAGCCACAAAGGGGGATATGATTGATTGGGTCGTGAACATTATTAATTCATCACTGAGGGAGGGAATGCTTCCTTCCAGCTTAAAAGAAACCGTAATCTGACCCATCATCTGACCCAACCTCAGACAATCTCAGCAATTTCTGTCCAGTTGCTAACATACCATTCCTTGGCAAGGTGATCAAAAGGGTAGTGGCCAATCAGCTGCAGTTATACCTGGAGGAGCAGGATTGCCTTTGCCCGTTCCAGTCTGGATTCAGGCCACAATGGGATACTGAGACAACATTGGACTTGCTGCAGGATGACCTTTTAAGGGAAGCTGACAGGGGCAGATGCACCCTGTTGGTACTCTTAGATCTCTAAGTGGCTTTTTGATACCATCGATCACAGTATCCTCCTGGACAGGCTCTCTGGGGTTGAGACTGGGGGCTTACCATTGAGCTGGCTCTGATCCTTTCTTGAGGACCATGTCCAGAGAGTACAACTAGGGGAGGAGGTGTTGACACCTTGGACCCTTGGGTGTGGGGTTCCTCAGGGATTGGCACTACTGTATCCCCAATGCTGTTTAATATCTATGTTAAGCAATTGGGGAAGGTCATCAGTAGTTTTGAAGTAAGACATCATCTGTATGCTGATGAAATGCAACTCTATCTCTCCATTACCACCTCTACAGTGGATGCCGTCTGGACGCTAGAGTGTTGCCTGGTTGCAGTATTAGAATGGATCAGGGCTAACAGGCTCAAATTGAACCTGGACAAAACAGAGATTTTGCTCCTGGGGGGGGGGGACCTCTGATAGGTTAGGGGGGATGGTCCCTAGGCTGGATGGCACTCCCCTCCAGTTTAGAGACCAAGTGTGTAATTTGGGTGTTCTTCTGGATCTGGCTGTCTCTTGTGAGTTCCAGATTGCAGCCATGTCTAAATCAACCTTCAACCAGCTTAGGCTAATTGCCTAACTTTGCCCATACCTGGACAAGGCCTGCAGCAGCCAGACTGGTAGTTGGTGGAAGTAAATTTGATCACATCATCCCAGTTCTGGCTCGCCTCCACTGGTTGCCCATGTTCTAGATCAAATTCAAGGTTTTGACACTCACATACAAAACCATACATGATTTTGGCCCATGTTACTTGTTGGAGTGTCTCTCCTTAATGTCACCTGCCTGATCCAAAAGGTCATCCCAGTCAAGGCTCCTCCAGGTGGCCACCCAAAGGGAGGCTCATGAATCCTCTACAAGAGGTAGGACCTTCTTTGCCTTGGCTGCAACCTTATGGAACTAGCTTCCGGAGGAGCTCCGCCTAGCCCTCTCCTTGTGGACATTTAAGAAGCAATTAAAGAAATTGCTTTTCAGAGAGGCTTTCTACACCAACCTCAGCTGACCACCTTCTTCCGCCCGCTTCCCTCCTCCCGCCCCTCCTTTTCTCCATCCGCTCTGAGATTAGCCAGTGCCACCTAGTTTTCTTTCTTTCTTCTTCTTCTTTTGAGATTTTTGTTATCAGTTTTATATTTCTATTTTCATTTCTGTTTTCTATTTTATGACATTGTAACCCACCCAGAGCAGTGCTGCAACACAAATGGGAGCAGGATACAAATTGAATAAATAAAATAAATGAAAATAATATAAATCTACCTTGGTGAGAGTTTATTCACTTTTTTTAGAAGCATGCCTTTTTCATGTTGCATTTCAGTTAGACTTATTTTATCTAATTATAGGTCATTGTAAGTCCCACTTATGGAATACAGCTAGGAATATAATAAATAATAATAAATCAAAGCTCAGAAAAAAGGTGGCTCGTTTAATTTACACTACCTTGTCTTTGAAACCTACAGTAGTCTAGCTGATTCAACAAGGGAACGTTTTCTCCTGAATTCATATCTGGCAAATTAATCTCTTTTTGCCTTTCCCTATGCTTGAATGGTGCCAGAGCAGAAATGTGTGAATTCTCAAAAGAGCAAATCTTAGGAATACGTTTATGGAGAAGGGACAACATATAAACCTCGTTAGTCTTTAAGTGGTTGGATTCTCTCGGAGTACAACTTTTTGATGTCCCAGCGAGCAACATTGTTCCAAGAGGTTATCAGCAACAAACGTCTATTTTCTGCAACTTTGGGGAGGGGGAGCGGGGGAGGAGAAAACAAGGTTATCAAAAGCGCTACACGTGCAACAAAAAGCACTCCTGGCTACTAACCCCAGTTGACCTCCTTCCTTCCCCCCCCCTTTCCTCTTCTTCCCTCCCCTCTTTTCCTCCATCAGCTCTTAGATTAATCGGTGCCATCCGGCTTTCTTTCTTTTTTTTAAAGATTTTTTGCTATCAGTTTTAATAATTCTATTTCCATTTGTGTTTTCTATTTTAAGTGATTGTAACCCGCACAGAGTAGTACTACGACATTAATGGGAGCGGGATACAATTTGAATAAATAAATATAACTATGCATTTGTTATTTGTTCCCCTCACACCCTGCAGACATTGCTTGAGGTGGGGAATCCTATGAACTGTCGTGGAGAAAGTAATGTTTCCAAGTTCCGTTTACACGCGCCTCTTTAAATCCCATCGCTCTAATCCCGCAAATGGAGGATGAAAGCAGCATGGGAACCGGAAGTGTCGTTGGAAAGCCCTCTGAAGTCTCGCCCCTATACTCGCCGCTTCCGCGTCTGCTCGCAAGATGTCACTGCAAGCGCGTCGCGGGCAATGCGCTGTCACGCCCCACTACGCATGCGCTCTTAAGCGGAGCCGGCTGAAATTACCACCACCACCCCCCGAGTCACCGCGCCGGAAACGGAACTGCCTGGGATAGGCAAATCAAATCCGTAGTAGTCACCGTAGTGGGGTTTCTAAGCCGGAGCTGTTGACGTTGGCTCTTATGCGTTATGGCAGCCTCGGGCCTTCCGCCGTTGCCGGCGCAGTTGAAGCCCATTCAGCATTTTCTGAGAACCGCCCAAGAGCTGGAGAAACGGGAGCCTGTGGTGGCCTATTACTGTAAGTGACAGATGCTATAACGCCTCGCGGGGCCCCACCCCCTTCGGTCCTTGGAGCACTCCGAGTGCCCCTCCCTCCATGGGAACAAGAAGATGGGAGGAGCCAATGGAGGGCTTCACTGTGCCGCTCCCCCCCACTCCGCCCCATCTCGACTCTCTCTTTCCCCAGTTCAGTGCGCATGCTCAAGATTCTGGAGCGGTGTCTGATTACTCGCAGACAAGCCATATACTGTATATGCCTTTACCCCATCCCGGCCTCGTCATGATCAGCGATGATCATCAGTGCGCATGCTCAAGATTCTGGAGCGGTGCGACTTGGCCGTCCCTTGTGCCGCGCGTGGTCTCTGGCAGCGAGGGGAAGCTGAGTGAGCAAGGCGTCCGGGGTTCAGTCACCGCCGCCGACCCTAGTTAACTGATTACTCGCAGACAAGCCATATACTGTATATGCCTTTACCCTATCCCCGCCTCGTCATGATGAAGGCTTCTGGGAGTTGCAGTCCAAAAACATCTGAGTAACAAAGGTTAAGAACCGGTGGACATGGGACACATCTTGAACATGGCAACAGCTCCAGTGTATATAAGTCACGTCCACAGTTTCTGGCGAATGGGCACCCGTAAAGCAGAGTCCACTTTTTGCCTTTGGAGTCTAACCAGACGGTCATATTTGTGTGCCCATTATTTGGTTCTTAAATATTGTCATTTGCTATAAGCCATCTTGGGTCCTTTTCTAAGTAGAAAGGTGGGGTAAAACTATTTAAATAAATGAATTGGTCAGGCAAAAAGGAAATGCGGTCCCATGCACCTTGTGTTAACAACTTATTATTGTTGTTATTACTGTTATTATTATTTTGTCTTCCCCTGTTATAGCTGTAGCTTCAATACTGTGTGTAGCCTTGCTTCATTATATGAGTGCACAGTATATGAGTCTAAAGCTGCCTATCAATTTTCTTTGTCTGCATCCCCTGTCTCACCTGAAGGATATTTTCCCCCAGTGATAGGATAAACAGGAGTATTGTGTTACATTACAAGGTGCCGACTGCTCTTTGAATCAAGTGGAATAAGTGATGTGCAATAACATAGTAATTTCCTATCCCCTATTTTAACCTCTATAATAAACAGATGCTTTGATTATAATACAACCTAAGTATCTTCTTCTGTATAGTCAACCTGAAAATACCAGTTGGCCGTCAATGAGTGGCATAAACTTAGAAATAAGTAAATAAAAAATGACAAGCAGACCAATCCCTCTTCCAAGCATTCTTTTCCTAATTACTCATAATATATGAATTGTTGTCCTATATGCCCTATGGATTGTTTCCTATTAAATGGGATGAAGCTTTGGGGAAATGGGCTTAAAGGTTCTCCACCTGCTTCACTCCTTCATTGTCCATTTTATTTTTCCTATAGAATCAAATAGAAGTCTTAGAAACAGGAAGGGGGAATCTTGAGTGAAATATTTTCTTCTTAAAACATCTTGCTAGCCTCATTTTTAAAGCAGTTTGCACAGTGTAAACTCTTAGATGAGAATGCAGATGTAATGCACTATTATCATATTTGACAGATTATTCAGTACATTAGGAGGTATTTTTTTCCAGAAGTATAATGTGGGAATCTGCTAAGCATATTGCTCATGGGTTTATCTTCTTCAAATGAAATTACATGATAACTATTTGAAAATGAAGTCATACACTCACAGACATATACTCTAGAGGAGTGAACTGGCATTTTCAAGAGTTGAGCTTGTTTTAATTCATTCAGGCTACATTTTCTGAAGTCCGCAGAATTCTGTATGAACTTTCATGAATGGAAAGCTATTAAAATTTCAGATATTAGCTAAAATACTGTTGCCGTAAGTTATACTGGATATTGATGAATTAGTTAGCTGTGATGACTTTTTGGAAAGCAAAAATTTCCTACAAACCTACCACCACCACCAAAGGCTCCCTTGGGGTCCTTTTCATCATTGGAAAGATGTTGAAAACTGTGAGACATTGCCATGGATGATGCAACATTATGCAGCATAAGTTGTGCAACAAGATTTCAGCCATGGGTTCTAGTAATTCTAGTAATCAGTTATTCTAGTACAGTATTTGCAGCTATAATTTTTTTCTACTGTTACAGAAGTATTACTGTTCAGTACAGCTGACCAGGATATAAATAAAATAATATGCGCATTCAAGGTAGCATTCACTCTGAACCCAGTCCCATTGAGCTACTTCAAGATGCCTCTATCCATTTTTAAGAAATCCGTGGCCCCTTAGATCACCCCAGCCCCTACAGGGCTGTTTTCTAACCTTTCTGTTATGCCTTGTCACAATGGTCCTCAAACTTTGGCCTTCAGATGTTCTTGGACTTCAACTCCCAGAAATCCTGGCCAGCAGAGGTGATGGTAAAGGCTTCTGGGAGTTGTAGCCCAAGAACAGCTGGAGGCCCGAGGCTGGGGACCACTGCCTTGACAGACAACATTTCACTGGCACTTCCTTAGATCCAAGTTTAACAGACTAGTCAGATGTTTTAATGTTTCTTAGTCATGTTGGTCAGAATCCAGAGAGTTGCAGTAGGCACACCTAAGTGTTTGGGCATGCCCTGATGATAAATCTTTTACTCTCCTCTTTCAGCAGCTGATTATTCTTCCCATGCAGTCTGTTTTTGAAAACACTGTTTCAGGCACAATTTGTTCTTTGCCATGGAGAAGGCTTCTGGGTGAGGCCATGATGGGCTAGATCAGCTGTTCTTTAGACCCCAGCTATTTCAGGAGTGGGTTTTTTCTGTTTTTTTTTTTTGTTTTGTTTTTTTTTTTATTGTTGAAATATCTGTGTTGTCTCATGTAGCTAGTTTAAAATTTGTGGTTTTTTGTTTTTATTGTTGATTCTATTTTGATGTTTTTCTGGTGGTTTTACTCAACTGAAAAAAGTATGTGGGATTTCATAGCACCTTTTCTAGCACTAAGTATGTCTCTGAATATTTATGGAACAAAACAGGAGGCATAATTCAGCAAGGTATATCAGCTAATAGAATTGATTTTAAAAAAGGAATCAGGAGGGGGACAATCTCCCCTTCTATTTCAGCTCCCATGTACCCCAAATCATAGGAATCTGTTTTCAGACAGTACCTCTGGCTGAAGGGTTAAAGGAGAGTTCTGTTGTGGCTCCAACCTTAACACAACAATGACATTGCATTTCACTACAGGCATCCTTTAGTCTCAAGAGATTATGGTAACGTGCTCTGAATAGAGGTCTCGGAACAACATCTAGTGTGGTTGAGAAGGCCAATTCGAGAGTGACAATCCCTTCCACACTGAAGACAAATACAATCTGTCCCCTTTCCAGCTCCCTGATTTTGCTGGTTTTGGGACTGCCTCTTTGCCTCGGCCTGCTGAACAAGTGTCTCTTCAAATTGGGAGAGTCCATGCTGCACCGCCTGCCTCCAGGCTGAATGCTCAGATATCAAAGTTTCCCATCTGTTGAGGTCCTTTCCTAAGGCCTTCAGATCCCGCTTGCAGATATCCTTGCATAGGAGCTGTGGTTTCCCTCTGCACTTTCCCTGCACTATTCCTCCATACAGGAGTTCTTTTGGAATCTGTCTGCCAACCATTCTCACGACATGCCCGAGCGAACATAGACGTCGCTGTTCCAGTAATGTATACATGCCAAAAATTCTAGCTCGTTTACATTTAGGCCACAGTATAAGTTTTTTAAAGTAGACAGACCAAATAGTACAATTTCTGTTAAATTATTATAATCTATTTTTGTTCTTAAATTTATGAAGTAAGTTTGTTTCATTAGAAAAACAAGTACTCTAGACTTATACTGTAAACAAGCTCATCAACAAAGTTGTGAGTTTGCAGAATTATGAGGTTGGCAGAGGAGGGACCAAGAACTTCAACTAACAGCTATATTTCTTTCCTTGTTCTAGATGCAGTGGAAGAACAGAGTGTTCTTTTCCTGTGCTATGTTCTTTTCTCTTTACTTACCTGTGTGCTGTTTGTTGTCTGCGGCTGTTAGGCAAGAACTTAATTGTGAAGTTTAAGTATTTCATACATTTCAGTTCTTCAGAAGAGCTATTTTTAATATAGTTCCAATGTTTCTGGGAAGATTAGATCTCTGTCCCTGTCTTTATATACCAGTACCTTTTCTAAGATTGACATATTCTTCATTACTGGTTTTGTTTTGTGCCATCTTATGCTTCAGTGGTTGTTTCATTGAGCTGAATATTTGTAGTCTCAGTTAATTTCAAATTATACTTAATGGTTAGACCTATATTATATTTTTAGCTTTTGAAGTTGTCTTTTAATGATATAAGCTGTCTTGGGTCCTTTTTAAGGAGAAAGGAGAAGTAAAATATTTTAAATAAATAAATATATGATAGAGTTCTATTGTGCTATATACAATGGTACCTCGCTAGATGACCTCGTAAAACGGCGAATCCGCATGACGATGAGGTTTTGTGATCATTATAGTGATTCTCAAAACAGTCATTGCAATGGGGTTTTTTCGCTGGTTGATAATTTGGTCTGCACTTCATGGACCATTTATTCTCAAGACGACAATTTTTACAGCTGGTCGGCGCTCGCAAAATGGCTTCCCTATGGGCGATCTTCGCTGGATGACAACTGTTTTCCCCTTTGGGCTGCATGAAGCGGGTTTCAATGCATTCCAATGGGGAAACAGTTTTCGCATGACGATGATTTCGCTAAACAGCGATTTCTATGGAACGGATTATCATCGTCATGTGGGGCACCACTACAGTGTGCCTTCTGTTTTTTGTTGATCAGCCAGTAGCAATGAAATTGCTCGTGCATGTGCATGGAATTGTAAAATTCCATGCCAGTTATCCTGTGGGGTTCAGCAAGTTTCTTTTATTGTCTCTTGTCCTGTTTAACATCGACATTAAACCACTGGGAGGTATTCTCTGAGGATCTGGAGTACAATGTCATTGCTGTGCAGATAAGCATCCAGCTCTATTTCTCTATTCCATCTGAATCAGGAAGCAGCAGGCAAG